TATTTATAGAAGTAGAAAATAATAAGTTTGATATATAAAAGTGTATTTAAAAAAAATAAATACAAAGTTGTCGTATTAATTTTTTTCTTTTACATTTTTTTTTTTTTTTTTTTTTTATTTTTATTATATTTTAATAAGTTTATTTTATATTATTTTATTTATATTTCTTTTTTTTTTTTTTTATTTCTCTTTTTTTTGTTGTTTATTCATTAAAAAGTTAAAAAGTTTCTAATAATAAAAAAAAAAAAAAAAAAAAGCATACTTCATTTTACATAGTTTGAATGTAAAATATTCTTTCGTAATATTATATAATAAAAAGAAATTAAATTCTCTCATTATTCATAATAGAAAAAGTATGAAGAAGTGTAAAAAAAATAAAATAAAATAAAATAAAATAATAGAATAGAATAAAACATTTATATTCTATGTGTATTTTAATATTCAATTTTTTTATAGATGTTAAAAAATCCAGGAGCTGTTTTGGTTTTTAAACCAAACACTAAAAGAGAAGAAGGAAGGAAAACTCAGTTATCAAATATACAAGTAAAAAATAATACTAAATTATTATATATTCAAATTTAAAATAAAATTATATACATTTGTATAAAAAAAAAAAGGAAATTACAAAAATAAAAAATAAAGCTTATATATATATATATATATATATATATATATATATATATATGTAATTAATTAATATTAAATTTTTTTATTTCAAGTATAAAAAATATAAAATTTTTATTATTAACAGCAAGAAAAAAAAAAAAAAATTTTTTTTTTTTTTTTTTTAGGCTAGCCGAGCAGTTAGCGAAATTATAAAAACTACATTAGGGCCTATGGCTATGCTTAAAATGATGTTAGACCCATTGGGAGGAATTGTAATAACTAATGATGGAAATTCTATTTTAAGAGAAGTTGATGTAGCACATCCAGCTGCTAAATCTTTAATAGAACTAAGTAGATCACAAGATGAAGAAGTTGGTGATGGTACAACTTCTGTTGTCATATTATCAGGAGAGTTATTAAATATAGCTGAAACTTTCCTTAAACAAAACATTCATCCAACTATTATTGTTAATTGTTATATGAATGCTTTGAATTGTTGTTTAAAATATTTAGAAGAAATAGCTATTGAAGTGAATATAAATGATGAAAGTAATCTTTTAAAAGCAATTGATTCATGTTTAAACACTAAATTTGTAAGTAGGTATAATAAAATTATTAGTAAATTAGCTTTAGAAGCAACATTGTGTGTTAAAATTGATAATATTATGGGTAAGAAAGAAATAGATATTAAAAGATATGCAAAAGTAGAAAAAATACCAGGAGGAGAAATAACAGATAGTTATGTACTGAAAGGAGTTATGATAAATAAAGATATTACCCATCCCAAAATGAGAAGGTATATAAAGAACCCAAGAATTTTATTGCTAGATTGTACATTAGAATATAAAAAAGCCGAAAGTCAGACAAATGTAGAAATTTTAGATGAAAACACATGGAATCAATTATTATTACAAGAAGAAATAGAAGTAAAAAAATTATGTGAATATATAATTGATAGTAAATGTGATGTAGTAGTAACAGAGAAAGGAGTATCTGATTTAGCTCAACACTTTCTCGTTAAAAAAAATATAAGTGTTATAAGAAGGGTTAGAAAAACAGATTTAAATAGACTAGAAAGGATTAGTGGTGCAACTATTGTTAATAGATGTGATGAAATTGTAGAAAGTGATATTGGTACAAAATGTGGCTTATTTGAAGTAAAAAAAATTGGAGATGATTATTACTCCTTTTTTATCGACTGTGAAGATCCTCATGCATGTACTATTTTGTTAAGAGGATCAACAAAAGATGTTTTGAATGAAATTGAAAGAAATTTACATGATGGTATGAATGTAGCTAAAAATATTATTCTTGAAGGAAAATTATTATGTGGTGGTGGTTGCACTGAAATGAGAGTTGGACAAAACTTAATAAAACAAGCAAAAAATTTTGATGATTCAAGAAAAAGTATAACAGAAGCAGTAGCTAGTGCTCTTGAAATTATACCGAAAATTTTAGCACAAAACTGCGGAGTTAATGTAGTAAAAACTATCAATGAATTAAGAATAAAACATGAAAATCCAGGAGGAGAAAAATATGGAATAGATGGAATAACAGGTGAGATTATCGATGTTTCTACAAAAAATATATGGGATTTGCTATCCGTTAAAAAGCAAATTTATAAAAGTGCGATAGAAGCAGCTGCTATGATTTTAAGAATTGATGATGTCGTTAGTGGTATTGGGAAAGATGATAAAAATCAAAAACATATTCAAAATGAATATGAATAATTTTTACTAAAATAAATAAAAAAAAAAAATAAAAATAAATTATTTATTTAAAATATATACATATAAAAGAAATAGCAATACTTTCATATATAAAAAAATTTTTTTTTTTTATTAAAATACAAAATTAAAAAAATATCTTTCTTGAATTCAATATGTTCATATTTTTATTTTGAACTATCGAAAATAAGTCATATTTTAAAAAATTTTAATTAAATTAAAAAAGATGACAAAAAAGAAATTAAAATTTATAAATTATTTTTTAAAAAATTATCATTAAATAAAAAAAAAAAAAAAAAACATATATATTACAAATATGAATATAAAATCCATAAATATAAAATGTTTTTCCATTAATAAATACAAGAAAAACAATTACAAAAATTAATAAAAAAACAAAAAAAAAAATTGTTCTATATGTATTAATCATTAATGAAATGTTACAAAAAAAAAAAAAAAAAATATATTTAAAGAGATGAAAGAAAATGCTTTCATTTTTTTTTTTTTTTTTTAATTTGATAAAAATATGAGAAGTCCTTTTAATTAAAAAATTAGCATACTTATGTCTACTTTTTACGTTTTTCATATTTACTTAAATAACAAGTCAATAAATTAAAACAATTCATATTTAAATGAGTATCACCTCCATATGGTAACCTAAGATGATTAAAATTTATAAAAAAAAAAATAAAATATGAATATAAATATACATAATAAAAAAATTTTTCTATATAATTATTATTTATTTTTTTTTTTTTTTCTTATGTTACTTTATATTTAATTTTGTACAAGCATCAATTACATGATTAATAGTAATATTATATTCTTCACTAATCATAAATAAAGTTTCAGGAGAATAATAATGAATAATATCAACGGGATCAGCTATATTTGAATATTCAATAAGTGTAACTATATTTTTAGTAGATAAATAGTTTTTGATTAAATCATTTGTATCAACAAATTTATGAACAATAATATTATTATTTATTGTATGATTTGATGTAAGATTTTCAAATTGATTCATTTCTAAATTTTCCATTTCTTCTTTTGTTATGTATCTATATTTATTAATCTCCTGTATATGTGTATCAGAAAATTTACAAATAAAATCTCCAATAAAATCTAAGGATAGATTGTGCTTATAATGAAATTCATAAATTGTTTCTTGTAATCCCCCATATTTTAATACCTCTTTTCTATACATTTCTTGTTTTTCTTCAGTTAGTTCATCAATTTCGTTATTTTCATCTCCATAACGTTTTATTTTATCAGGTAAGTTTTCTCCATTTTGAAAATCAAAAGTTTTCTTTAATTTATCAGCCATTGAAATTTGTTCATCAAAAGAATAATCATTTACTATTGGTTCGTTATATATATTTTCTTGTGTATTATTTTCATACTGCTTAATAAATTTCTTAGAAGTATCTATACGTAAATAATGTACAGGATCTTCTAAAAATTTCGAAATTTCAATTGCTGAATCCACCTGTTTTATTTTAGAATCTATGTCACCATATTCATCTCTTTCTTTATATTCTTTTATAGTTTCCTTTAATTTTTCTAATTTAATATGGGACAATAAATTTTTATCTGGATTTTTTATAATTTCTCTTATATCCATTTTATGAGTTTCTTTAATTTTCATAACATCCCTTAATCTATTTCTAATAACTTCTAATGAGCCAAAAATTGGATATCCTCTTTTTCTTAATTCATCTTTTATTTGTGATTCACTCATTTCTTTTATATCTTCTTCTTTAATTTCAACAAAATTATCATTATTATTAAAGAATATGTTTTTATTTATAAATTCATTTTCATTTTTATTATTATTTTTGAAATCTTTATTTACTTCTTCTATTTTTTTATTGTAATATATTATATTTTCGAGATCTTCGCATCTCTTTATCTTATTTTCCTTTTTTTGCTTTTCATATAATTTTAATATTTCTCTCTCTTTTTCATTTATTCTGTTAAAAAGAGATTTATCCTCCTGTATTTTATTGAAAACTTCATCTATTAATTTTTTTTCTTCATCGTTTACTTCCTTCTCATCATCCATATTTTTCATCATTTCAAAATCTTTCTTTGAAAGCTTATAATTAAACTTATCAACATTGGTGTAATCACCTTTGCATACATTTCTCAATATTTTTTTATTTAATTCTTCTTCATCTTCACTTAAAAATTCTGTTTTTTCCTCATTTTCATATTCATTTTTTTCTATATTTTTATCATTATTACTATATGGAGAATTTACATTTTCAGAATTCACATTTTCAGAATTCACATTTTCAGAATTCACATTTTCAGAATTCACATTTTCAGAATTTACATTTTCAGAATTTACATTTTCAGAATTCACATTTTCAGAATTTACATTTTCAGAATTTACATTTTCAGAATTTACATTACTGCTAATATATTTATTATCAACATCTTGCGTAAATAAATGAATGTAATCTTGAATCTTCCTTTCCATAGCATCATTCGGAGTAAAATTCTTTTCTATTTCCTTTTTAAGTTTTTCAAGATTTAATTTACTTGAACTATTTACAACTCTTTCATTTAACTCATATATATCTTTTTTTTCATTTTTTTTTAATTGATTTAATTTTTGTTCTCTACTATCTTTCAATAATTGTACTAATCTATTATATTCTTCTAACATTTTGTCTTTATCTATATTTTTTAATTTTTTATCATCTCTTAACAATTTCTCATCTTTCAAATATTTGTTTACTATATTAACTAGATTTTCCTTTTCTGTTTCATTATCATTTTCTTCAATTATATCATTATAATTTGGTTCATTTCCGTGAAGATCATCACTGTTTTTATCTATTTTATTATCATTGTCATTTATTTCATTATAATTTTCATAAATATTTTCTTCCATTATTTTATTTTGTTTTTCATTATTATTTTCATTTTTTTCCTCATTAATTATTAAATTTTCAGTATCTTCATTACTTTTCTTTAAGTTACAATTGATTTTTCTTTTTTTTTTTTTTTTTTTTATTTTGTTATAAAAATTACTTCCATTATCATAATGACCAGGAAAATTGGAGTAAAAATATTCACATTTTAGATCTGAACTTTCATTGTTTTTAATTATATTATTATTGCTATTACTTATCTCATCTTTATTATTATTTATATCATTTTGATAATTATTATTGGGATTAATCATATATAAATTTTCTTCTATTTTTTTATTTTTTTTTTTTTTCTGTAATCTACAAATGTTAATGGACAAATTATCATTTTTTTTTTTTAATAAAATGAATTGTTTTTTTTTTTTTTTAATTGGTGTTACATTCTTAAAACTACTATAACTCGTAGCATTTTGTTTTTCAATTGATGAAATATAAAATATTTTCATAAAATAACTTCTTATTTTTCCAGAATTTTTATTTATCATATTTATGAAAGTTGGAGATATATAGAAAAGAATAAGAAATAAAACATACCTTGGCATTTTTTTTTTTTTTTTTTTTTACTTATTTTTTTTTATTAAAAAAAAAAGTTTCTATTATAAATTACTTCAAATAAAAAAGAATATATTCGTATGTTTTTTTCATAAACAACCATATTTCTTTTCACTAAAAAAAAACCAAATAAATAATATTTAAGCATCAATATATTTTTTTTTTTTTTTTTTTTTTTCACTGAAAAAAGAAAAAAAAATATTTTAATATTTTTTTTTTTTTCATATTTTTGTATATATACTTATATATATTTATATAAAGGTTAATTCGTTTAATTAAAAATTATATAATTATTTTTTATTTGAAAAAATTTGAAAATTTCCCATTTTTATAATAAATTTCAAAAATGAGTAGAGCTAAAATCTCAATGTTAAAAAATGTTCCTATTCCTTCATCATTTACAATTAACAGAAACATAAGGAGAGTAATAAAAAAAAAATAGTTATAATATTTTATATATTTTTATTAAACAAAATTTTATGTTTTTTTTTTTTTTTTTTTGCTTAAAATAATTTATCTTTTATATTCATATTTAGTTTAATATGGCGGAAAATGATAGAAAAATATTTTTTTCGTTTAACTTGTTTTCTATTTTTCTTTTTACACTACCAATTCTTTACATATCTAAAGTAAGAACATAAATACAGAAGAAATATAATAAAAAAAAAAGGAACATCTAAAAAAAAATAATAGATTTAATTTTTTTTTTTTTTCCTTTTTCTTTTTTACACATTTGTATTTATCAATATCTTTTTTTTTTTTTTTTTTTTTTTTTTTTTTTTGGTTTATTT